TGTTTTGGGAGCTAATCGGTACTATGTTCCATTTTACTTGGCTCTCTAGACTGAACCCTCTGTACAGGCTCATTCTTGACTCCACTCATTCAAGTTCAGACAGCAGTTTGCCCCTTGATTTGCAGCCAGGGGTTTTCCAGTTAATATAAGGGAGAGTGAAGAACCAAAGAAGGTGGTTTATCTCCATGTTTGCTGTGAGGCCACCCAAGCAAGTTTTGCGGAGGCTGTGGTAATCCGCAAAGCTGTCTTTCACGTATCAGTGCATCTCGAAAGCCCGAGGCTGTATTGCAAAGATAAACTGGCGAGGCACATATTACCCCATAAGAGACGCCCGCCTGCCTAATCCTCCTTTGTTATGGGAGAGTGGCCTGGGAAACCGAGTGTCAGACACAGGTTTTCCTGACACTTATCTCACCAGTTGCATGTACACAGTAAGTGCAACAGATAACATACGAAATAATTAAGCCAGATTAAAATGAACTGTGAGCATAACTTAAAAAAAAAAAAGAGATGTGGAAGAGCTTTGCAATGCCACAGTGCTGTAATATATGTTGCTGCTTCTGTTGGTGTCTGTTTCACTGGACTTGTAACATCACAATTAGAAAGCATTAAAATCTCACGAAGACTTCTTAGATCCATTGATTCTTAGATTAGGGTGGTTGGTGGTGGGCATAAGGCAACGCTTCCTTAACTTTAATACACATTTGGATCTTTGGGGATTTTGCTGAGATTCAGATTCTGCGACTGTAGATCTGGGGTGGACCTAAGAATCTATATTGGGCCAGACGATGTTGATCCTTTTGGCTGATTCTTTGGGCACACTTTAGGTGGAATGGATGTAAAAAATGTTAGCATTCCTCAATTCATGGGAATTTTTAAGACATTTCTCCCTGATGTGTTAGCTTTAAGACCTGTGATACATCAGGTCAACTTTTTCTTTTCTGCCACTTTCAAGTTTACTCAATAATCTTTGGGTGCCCCTGGATGAAAATTTTTCTAGACCTCCTGTCCTTTTCTGGTTATGCTTAAGACATAGACTATCCCATTGTCCATTAAGATTGTAAACACAGGGGACTGGGGATTTAGCTCAGCGGCAAAAGCGCCTGCCTGGCAAGCGCACGGTCGTGAGTTCGGTTCCCGGTACCGGAGAAAAACCAAAAAAAAACCAGATTGTAAACACAGGCTCATTTCACCAATTTTATGGAAGGCTCAATATATTAACCAACATCTGACCTTCCTCACTGTCAGACTTCCCTTGTTCTAGTCTAGGCCTGCTTTTCTTGCACATCTGCCCTGGGTAGGGATGCTCATTTGGCTTTCTGTATTCACCTGTCCTGGGCTTTTTGGTTTAAAGTGGATTTTCTCTGTTGGGGGGTTCTTCAGTGGAGTCTTTGTGATTCTCCCTCCTGAGGTTCCCTCATAACTGGCTCATAGAGCCGTCACAGTTCTAGGTGGACACCTGTTCCTCTTGCTTTGGATTCCAGGAATCTGGCGTCACTCCCTCCTTCTTGCTGCTGTCTCTGGGCCCCACACTAGGTCTTTCTCATCAGACCTCTCATCACAGGAAATGCTCGAGTGTCTGTTGCCTTGGACAACTCTGGAAATGCAGGTGGATCTGCCACAGAACAGTCCTCAGCCACTCCTGACCCTTCTCGATGTCCTGGACAGAAGGTGGAATGCTAGCACAGGGCAACCGATGTGCAGAACTGGGGCAATAGGGTCTCCAAATGGACCCACTGGGGTCCTCCTTGATAAAGCAGGATGGAGGAAATTGTGAACAAAGTATCTGCTCTCTCCTGAGTGCTCTCTTCAGATATGTCCCTTCTTCCTGCTCTAATCTCCTTTTCGAGGTGGGCCACAGGTTGCACAAGTTACAGGGTGAAATCTCAGAAATTGCCTTTGAAAGTCCTTACTTGACAGTGTCACATGACATTCTTTTACCACAACAAGAATGATGATAAACTAAGGTTAGGAACCATGATGGTACCATATGGCCCCTTTCCCTGTTTTATAGAACACAGACTGAATAAGTAAAATGTGCTCGATGTCAATCTAAGAAATTGTAAGTTTGTGCTCTTAAGCAATGTTGTCCCCCTGGTAGAAAACTCCATATTTGAAGGTGCTGCAATGATAAGTCTAAAAGAGCAGACTAAAGTGCAATTGGTCTGTCAGAACTGCGGAGAGAAATCTTTGAGTAACATTTTGGATGCAGATATTAACTATTATTGCCCTAAAGGACATATCCTTGGATTTCATTTTCTAAAATGTGTTCCATAGAACATTAGATTTACGGTTCTTTTGTTCAGTACACATACACTGTATGCCAAAGTGGAATTCTGTCCGTCTTAGAGATCTTCAGTCTAATTAGCATGTTATACAGATTCTAAGAAATACTATAGATAAAGATATTGGGTTTTCCATTTCTTTTTTGATAACACCATAATATTTGGAAGTTCCTTAGAACTCGTGTTCAGGAGTTTTGTAATGGATCCCCTGGTGCATTCAAAGAGGATGAGTGAAGTTACATTTACTGGTTATGTCTTCTTTTTTCCTTTTGGCTGTGAAGAGTGTTTAGTTCTCAGTCACCTTTTGCAGTAGCTGGCAGATTTTTTTTTTTTCCAAGCACATGTGAAACCAAAACTTAAATCTTCTAAGTTAAATCTAAGTTGGAAATATACTCCTTTATAAATTAACACTGAGAAAAGCAAAGTAATAAGATGGTAACACCTGTACATGCAAGATGTGAGGGTAGGCGTCTTGGTTTTCTGCCTTGCCTGCCCACCAGAATCGCTTGGGAAACTTTTACAGATCTGATGCTTTGGCCATACCTGGGCCAATTCAGTAAGAATCTCTGGATACTCAAGTATCTAGAGCCAGCATTGTGGTTTGAGCCCATCACAGTTCGTGTGATAAATGGCTTGGATGATTAGGTAAGTTCAAACTACCTCCCTACTAAGGAGATCAAATTATCTAAGGCCAACAGATTCAGTCTGGCTGGAACATATGGTTGAAATGTGTAAGGTTTACTTTGCTTTTCAAAACATACTAAATGCATAATTAAGATAGTCCTTGTTGAAGTTTTATAATTTACTACCTTTTGTACAGACCCCTTTTCCTTATTTGCTCCCGTTGCCATTTTATATTTCCAAATGGCATTCTAGTGAAAATAATAAAATTAAAGCAATACAGTGATGCTAATGGATGCAAAACGCACCTCATTTGAAAGAGAATGGCAATACACATTTTCAGAAGTTCTACATGGTTCAACTCATTGATCAGAAGCATGTCGGTGATATAATGCTAATATTGTGAATGTCTGAGTGGTCTGTTGATGGAATCATAGAAATAAAAAGCTAAACAATGTGCATGGGACTAGAAAAAGTGGTTGCATTGAATATATTTAAATTATCTTTAGCAGCAATTTTATTCAAACTTAACTATCACTCCAAGGACTTAAATAAATCAACAATGTGTTTTTGTTCATCCTGACTTACACAATTCTTTGTCACAGCATAATTCTGTTGCCAAATAAATGAGAATATCATGTGGCTATAAAAAAAACAAGACAATAGAATCATATGATTTCATGAGAACGAGCCAGGAGTCAATTCCTATTTGATATTTTGTTCCTTTGCGTTTAGGTTTCACACACTTCTGTGCTTTTGCACTTGGTCTTTGCCTTCCTTTGGTCTTTGCTGTCATCATGTATTGTTTCTTAGGAAACTATACTGGGAGCTTCCACGTAGAGAGAAACGGTCAAGAGATCTTTGCAGTATAGTTTAGGAAATAAAAATCTCTTTGATGCTTTCCCCGGAGAAGGTGGTAGAAATTGTGACAGTGGGAAGATGATAGTAATTAAATGCTTGTTGGACTATTGAGTGAGGGTCAGAATGCAGTCCTCTTGTGGGACAGAAAATGGACTTGTGTAATGGAAGATTATTCCTTAATCTATAGAGGGAAGCCGTAGAATTGGCAACAGAAGATACTAATGTTTAATCTTCTTTATACATACCTCAAAAAACCAGAGGAACTAAGAGGTAAACTCTCACACAGCTGCTCAACCAAAAATTCATTTGTAAGTTTCAGAAATGTGTAATACCTCCCAAGGCCCACTGTGTTAAATGCCACCTACCTGAAAAGAATATAATTTAATTGGACTTGATTAGCAAGTTCTTCTGTAGTTTCTTTTTTGTGACCATGTTTCAACTGGAAATGTTCCAGAGGGCAGCACTTTTAAAAGAGAAAAGCTGAGCAAACGCCGTTCCTTGGCTTTAAGCCCTGTGACACAGAGAGTTGTTCTGGTACAAGTTGCCTTCAAAGCTGTAGCTTACTAACCTAACAGCATCAGTTGGGGTGGTTTAGCTTTTCTGGGGCAGGAGAAACATTAGGAAGAGAGCTAGAAAGTGCTAGTCAAGCCCTGATTTGTCAATAGCCAAGAAGTAACTGGAGCCTCGGTTTCAGTACCTGTCCAGGTGAGATGACCACCTCCGTTTCTAGAACCCAAGATTACGTGAAATTAGCTTGGCCCTAGGTGCAGCATATTTGCTTAAACCAACAGTGACATCTGGTGGCTGAATACACCAATGGCGCCTTTAGCTGCCTTTCAGGATTTCCAAAGGACTTGTTTTTTATTCATTCACTCATTCTCTCTTATTTTAAAAGTGGCCCCCTTTTCCATTTGACTGTGTACTGGGGGCCATTTGGAAATCTTAATGTTCAGGTACAATCTCTCTGACTCATAGTTTATCTCATAAATTTTAAAAAGTTTTTTTTATTAAGCATTTGAGTGAATACACTTTTCAGCCAATGACACTGCGATAGTCCTTTTCTTTAAAAGGTAATATTGTGAAGGCAGCTGCAGATTCCTTTAGCTTGGTGGTTACTTTAGAACACACTGCACTGCAGTGAAATTGCTTGGGTTAATGCAGGCTTATGTTTAAAAGTGAGTCATCTCTATTGTTGCACTTATTTGACTCTTGTTCTGTTACTCTCCGGGCTAGGCAGCAGGATTTGGTAGACAGCAGGCACCCTGCTGGAAGCCTGAAGGCCCTGGATTAGAACCCATGATGATACAATGCCAAGGCTTGCACTCAGGCTTATAGCCACCTGCAAGGTGAGTGTGGATTTTGCTTATCGTACTGTTCTGGTTTCCCTTCCATGGTGGTGAGGCCCTCCCCAACTTTTGCGCTCTTAGGCACTGTTGTTAGTCTCTGTCCAGAGCAAAATGCATGAACAAACAGACTTCTACAGAATGCTTAATATTTTCCCCTTGTGTTTAACATTCACAACTTGTGATATGTGGACTCTTCACATTCCTGAAGTGCAGAGGGACCAGCACCCCACTTAGGTCCTTCTCTTAATGGATTGGCTCACAATCCCACCCTCCCTACTTTCCACAGCAGTACTGTAATTTACCTAATAGCTTTGAGGAAAGCTATTTAAAATTATTAATGCTCTTCAGTGTCTACTGTTGGTTCTTTCCTTATGATGTAAGATGAGAAACTCCAACTTCCAAGGTATTACTCCAGTAGGTTCAAACGACATCCCTTAGACTTTTATAAGTGAGGAACGGAACCCAAGTCCTTCGACTCTGTAGCCTACAGGTTTCACAACCCACCCAGACTGCATGAACATGCCTGTGGGGAGGTGAGTTCTTCCTCTACCCAGTTTTTACTCTCCGGCTTCTCCTTCCTTAACTGCTATGCAGGTTTCTGTGACGTTTGGGCTCAAGGAAGTGGATTCTCCGAGTGAGAACACGGAGAGAGCCTATGTCCCCTCTGTGTCTTTGTCCCTTGTGGTATTCGAAGGAAGGAAGAGCGTCCTAGGCAGGTCAATATGCAGTTTAGTTTCCCCAGAAACACAGGCAGGTGGTTCACACAGAAATCTGAATAATTTATGAATGGCTGTGGAAAATATTCACACTGGGAGCACTAACTGTTTTGTGCCTGAATCATTTACATCCTCTGTTAGTTAGGGCCACGGTTACTCTTGCTGTTGCTTGCTGATTTGCACATTGAGTCTGAGAACCTTCATTCAGCGGGAAAACCAGGTTAGGTTACTTTCTTAAGGATTTAGAGCCAATGTAATTTTAATAGACTTACAGTTGTATTTCTTAAGGTATTACTCCCATAACCGTGTTACTGTATGTATTCCAGGCTGGAAATGAGTTTGGGTAGATCACCGTGACACAGGGCACAGCTTTTATGGTCCCCCAAGTCAGGGGTAGGCATGTGCCAGCCCCTCTTCGTGCCAGTTCCATGGCAGATATTTAGTCCTTAATTGCTCACCAGCTGACTGAACAAAGGGGCCTGCTCAGGAGCCTCCAAGGGCCTCCTGATGTGTATATAGCAGAACCCCAACTTTGACCCGGCTCTTCAAGCCTTGCTTTGCTTGTGACATCTTTTAGGCAGCTCTCTCCCCATTGTGCTTCAGAGGCTTTCACCCATCCAAGGACATTTCTTCCCTTGGCCAGAAAACTTTGTTCCCTGTTCTTCCCCATGTCTCAGTTAAAATGTCACATTCAGGCCGGGCATGGTGGTGCACGCTTATAATCCCAGCACTCGGGAGGCTGAGGCAGGAGGATCGTTGTGAGTTCAAGACCAGCCTGGGCTACAAAGTGAGCTCAAGGCTAGTCTGAACTGCAAAGCGAGACCCTGTCTCAAAAAGACAAAAAAAAAAAAAAATAAATAAAATAAAATGTCACATTCTCAGACATGCTTTCCTTGGTCACATTGTTTAGGGAGATTCCCTTTCTATTCTCCATCCTGGTACTTTTTTTTAAAAAAATTGGCTTTGTAGCATTTGCTCCAGCTCTTAATTAATATTTAACATATTTGTAAAAAATCCTGTTTGCCTCTGTTCCCCAGGAAGCTACCCCGAGATCTTTTCAGAAGGGATATAAATGGGCAGAATGGGGCAGTGGAATTCATTGGGTCATGAACTGAATTTTCTGTGTACCTTTTCAAATGACTGGAGAGGATATTAGATGACACAATGTTTTTCTTTACTGTAAAGCTCAGAAAATTTTTCTCTGAGGTTAAGAAAATTCCTTCTTCAGCTGTAGGTCACATACTTTTGGTTTTATGTTTCATACGTAATTTCTTTTACTATGGGCTTCGTTGTCTAGAGGTCAAAGCACTTATGCTATATTAATGTCCTTCTTCATTCTGTTAATTGAGCACCTACTGGTGTATAATTGGTGCTGTAAAATGGAGTTCTTTCTCTCAAAGAGCTTCCATTCTTTCTTAATCTGCTAGGTTGCCATGACCAAAGTACCACAGATATGAATTTTGGGGTGTCACAGTTTGTGGAGAAGGACATTCTTTGATTAGAAAGCACTGAGGACGCACAATGATTCATTTATTGTCACAAAAATGAACCGAAACCTTTCACCTGAAGAGAAGAGTGTATTTGAGTTGCAGGAGATCCCTATTTTTTAGTCTTGCCATGCACTGTAAAAATTAATGGGAAGTAAGGACTGTGATTGTAGTGGATTGATAACTAGTGGTCAACTTATAACCCCCAGCTGAACTGAGAAAGCATGGTGCTGGGTGTGGGAGGACCACCTGGGGACTGTTGCCAGCAGCATAAGAGGCAGAATTGGAGAAGGATGACGCTTTAATTACTAAAATGTTTGGTATCCGCCCATTTGTACTAGCTACGCCCTTAGTTCTCACTCAGTAAAAGGTGACTGAGATTGGTAATCAGGGCTGCAGTCTGAGAGGCTGTATGCCCGCTGGTCCCAGACTTTTGCCTGTCTTGTTTTTCTTGTCTCTCTTGCTTTTCATCTGCGGGCACCTCGTTCTCCGGACCTGTCACCCTGGTTAGAACAACAGTTCACAACACACTTCATTCCTGGGAAGACAAGTAGAGAAGAGCAAGTGATCGCATGGAACATAAGCAAGAGTCTGAGATGCTGTGGCTTCCCTGGAAATGTCCTCCTGGGTTCAGTGGCTCTGGAAGTTTTCCCGGAGAAGCACTTCATAAGGTGACACTGAAGGGGAGAAGCACATATGTGTAGGCTGAGATAAACCAGACTAGGTGAGGGAAACCAGGAGGACGTCGTTTTTCTGGCTGTTTTTCCTTACGTTTTGTAGAAGCAAGAGTGCAGGGAGATGTGGGAAGCATTTAGTAGAGGATCCTTCTGAGTTTCTAGGCAGGTTGGAATCTAAACAACAGTGCTGCACTTTATTTTCAAAGTTTAGATTTTTCACTGCAAGTAGAACTCCCTGTATAATAGGTAAATTTTAGGCACATGAGACAAACATAAGATCCAGAAGAATTTCTATGATGTTCTATGAAATTACTCTTTATTTTGGTAGGAAATTGCCCATTCCCTGGGCAGTAAACAACATTTGGCCTCTGGAGAACCAGATTGGAAGGAAGCAGCGTAAGAAGTGGGGCTCCCTGCACCTCGCTTCAAGGGCCATCGGGGTGGATTCTTCTGCCTCACGTCCTGTTTATCTTGGTCACCGCCGAGACACAGCCTCCCGGGCTTCCATCGTCATTGCTCTTGTCCCCCTAAGGCTTGACACGGCTCCCAGTTTGGCTGTCACCTAGGTATGGGCATTGACCAGACTTCTCCATGGCACTCTCTGGCATTCAGATCATCATCAGTAAACCCTCTCATTTTCTGAATGTTTTCATCGCTTGGCTACTTTCATTGAAACCCAGCTATCCGGGAGGCCTCTGAGATGCAGGCTGCTTTTATTCCACACTCACCTTGGGGAGGGTGATGTATCTTCTGGATCCAGTGTTGCTCTCAGTAGCATTCTTATTCCTGGTCCCTCAGCCACACATAGTTCTTTTTTTTTTCTTTCAACTTTCAACTCCAGTGAGTTCTTTACTGTGTGATCGTCACTGATGATAGAACTCCTTGATTCATTTAGAAAATACTAATGATCGTTTTGCCACCCAATTCACCAACTTTTCTGCCCCATACTTAAATGTCTCTAATTATGTTATGAACCTTGTTGCTTTCGAGGCAACTTCTCCATGTGTGGGCTGCATCTTGTTTAGTTCTTTCTGAAGCACTCTGTTCACCTTTCTCTCCCTTACCCTGTATGTTCCTTTCCTGCTGGAGCATTCTTATTTTCATGTGGAAATGTTGGGGAGAGAGAGAGGGAAAGAGAGGGAGAGACAGAGACAGAGACAGAGACAGAAAGAAAAGTCGCTCTGGGTTCTGCATCCTCCAGCAGCTTTGACTATTTCTGTACTTTTCTTCATAATAAATAAATTCTTGTAAAAGATTCTTAGACATTTTATGTCTCTGCTTCTTTACCAGCCATTCTTTCTGAGTTCTACCCCAAGCAGGATTTTGGCTCAGCACTCCACCGAGGCTAGTCTAGTCAAAGACACTGGCTACTTTGGTCTTGCCAAATTCAGTTGACAAGTCTTGCTCTGCTGTGTTCTTGACCCTCCATTTGATGATAAGCTTCTGCTTCCTTCTAGAAATACATTTTCACTTGTATTTGGGACCTCTACACTTTCTTGTTTTGTATTTGTTTAAACTCATTTGCTGGCTCCTTTTCCTGTCTTTGTCTACCTAAAGGGCTTTGTCTACCTAAAGGATGGGTAAGATGGCTTGCAGTGTAGTTGTTGGGCAGTCCCACCTCTGTTTTTTCCTCAGCCTTATGACTTTATTTATTTAATTTTTAATTTTAAAGAGAAAATAACAAAAACAAAGACAAAAACAACAACACAAAAACTCTAAAAAACAATTCAAAATTTCAGAACAGGATGATAGGAAATCTACAATGCTTGTTGTATTACTTATTGTTATCTTCAGAGTAGTTGCTCAGATTACCAGATATAGGCACGTAAGATTGATCAAACAATTATGAGTTAATTGATCCTTTCAATAAACCAATAGAAATTAGTAGTATAATTATCTTAGACATCTTGTGTGTATCTATCTATCTATCCATCTATCAATCAATCATCTCCCTTCCTTCTTTCTTTCTTTGCTTCTTTCCCTTATCCCAGTTGTTCTTTTCTATTAAGCAATTTCTTTCCCTTTCACAATGTAACTTTAAATACTATCTGTAAGTTGATAATGCACAAATTTGAACTCTAGGTGGACCTTTTGACTGACCGCTGGACATGTCCGTGCAG